AATCCAGCAGCACAAGTAAGAAACGTATGTTGTTCCTCTAAAGCACAAATTTTGTATTTCAAGTTTACATAAATGAAAGCATACATACCAGTGGTAGTGTTTTATGCCTTAATATCATCCTCAATCGTCGATTCAAACGCGAAAACGAAACCTCCGCTGAGTGTAACGAATGGCCTGAATTTTTACGCCAATAAAGCGATTTCAATACCAAATAGTTTAGTGGTACTTCCTTTTCATAACTTTCACAATTGCAGTAAGCTACTCAAGCCCTATCGACAGTGGCAAATATGGCAAAGACAATTCCTATTTTAGAAACAAGATTTAAACATCAAGACAAACCATCAGAAGCATGTTGTTCAAAACTATCAACTCCTTCATCTGAACAGGAGCATTGTTGATGCACTTCTGTTTCAAAGCTTTCTAGAAATTCTCGTTGTTCCTCTTCATTCTTTTCAATAAAAATATTCCAAGCCTGAACAGTTCTTCTCTTCATGGAACTACTATATTAAGTGTCTAAACATTAAATGAATCAAACTGTTAGAACTCAAATTTCACCTGCATATTCTCTTCTTCGGTAAACAGTTTTGAGAGAGCTGTTACTGTTGACTGTAAGATATCGGAATAATCGTCGCAGATATCTCCGGCATCTACCATTGAATATAAAAGTTGTGCTAGAAGAAAAATAATAAGATTTAGAAATGGGCTTTTGAAACATAAAGGAAAAAAATGCTATCTTTTCGCCGCTAAATCACACAGCCCAAATTAAAAACAAACCATTCTCATATCTTCGTTGTTTTCTTGCACCCATCCGGCCTTTTTTTATCATATTTAAATCACTAGTGATATCATTTAACCATTGTGCTTTTCGTACACTGCGTCCATCCTGAAAAAAATACTCCTCCTCAACATTTTCTCTGGCTTGAATCCTTTCACTAAAGTAAATGAGAATGCAATAGAATTTCACCATATTTGATGGTCAATCTTACGGATTCTAAAAATTAGCTAACAGTATTTTACCAGTTTTAAACTTGAACCAAACAGAGAAACTTATTTTTTGCCTTCTTCGGTGCGGCGTAAATCTCTGCACGGTAGTTTCATTGACATCATTTTCGGATTGAATTTCATTTTCACTTTCATAATCAAGCAAATAACTGAAAAATAATCACTTTGAATTTTCTTACTAAGTACTATGAGATTTACTTTCCTCCATCTACTTTTTCTTTTTTCCTCTGAATTGCATTACGAAATCTGGTGTTTCAGTGCTTCCATCACAAAAAATAACGGTTTTTCCGTGACCTCCTGATTAAAATCCATTTTCCTGCAATCTTTTATGAGCAAGTGAAAAATTCAGTATTGCTGAATTATTCTACAAGAGTGCTTTGCAAGGAAAAAAGAGAGCTTACTCATCCAATGTAATATAATTAGACATCAGCATACGTGAATTTTGTCGAAGAACTCCCATGTTGTGATGAAAGTGATTTCAAGTAAAGTACTGCAGCTGGAAATTGGTGCTTAACAGTTAGTTAGTGTTAAGATTCAAAAACAATGATAAAAACGCTATAAGCAAGTATGTACGTGAATTTTACTCCATGCAGACGGATTTTACAAAAAAAAATCGATTCCAATTACTTAGCATTTTAAATAATCAAAAGAAATTATGGTATTAAAAACTTATAAATGTAAAATGCATATTTTGTTGCCTATATAAAAGAGCAATAAAATTTCAAATGTGTTGCATGCAAAATGCTCAGTGAAATATTTGATAAAAAAAATAAGATAATACGGAAGAAAATTCCATGTTAAAAAAAACAGCTTTGAAGAAGGAGAGACAGAAAGCAAAGAGGGAGAGAGGGAGGGAGAGAGAGAAAGGCCACGTTAGTATCTCTTGATTAAAACGTAAAATAACGTTTGAAATTTCAGAATGAACAACGTGTCACTATCGTATTCATAACGTTCGCATCATGACAAACATATTCGCTTACAACTCAATAATGATTGTTGTTAGCAGCTTCTTTATAATCAATAATTGGAAGTTTGCTATAATATGAGAGATCAAACATGTGAGATTTTATTTTAAAATTTATAAATTCAAGGATAAATATGTATTCAGTCGTGCGGAATTAAGCACGTCATTCCATAATGATGTTATATAATCGTACGTGAATTAAACACGTCATTTCCATAATGGTGGTATATATGTATATATGAAAAGGAAAAAAAAAATTCACTATCGATGTTATCATTTGCTACGTACATTCACACGCCGAATACTAGTATAAATGCATATACGTGGAGTCGAATAGAAAACGTACTAGTTTGAATTTACGATAATTTTTCAGTGATTAAAAAATATTGAGTAAATTTCATGCCTTTAACAAAATGCGCCATACAAATTGAGCATCCGTTTTGATATATAATGCCTTTTTTGATATATAATTTTGATAATATAATAGTGGAAGAAATTTTTACGGAGTCGATTTACAGTTTAAAGGTTATAGTTAGTTCAACTTAAATTATTGGATGGTTTAATTTAATTTAGTTGACATTGCGTAAAGCATATAAAATCAATAGTATTTCTTTCAGCTTTTTAACAAAAAGTAAAATTTAAACCACGCATAACAGTAAACCTATGATGTAGGATACTAGTAAATTTAATGATGGATACTAGTAAATTTAATGATTTAAATTACTACCTAATTTTTTCTGATTTAAATTATTACCTAATTTTGTTTTTCAAATGTATTTACTTTGCTGTTGTTGTTGTTGTATATTATTGTAAACTCAAACAAGAAACCCCTCTCTCTCTCTCTCTCTTTTAAAACGATAAAAAACGATGCATTTTAAAAATGGTCCTTAAAACAGACAATTTGACTGAGTGCTTTTTAAATGAATGATAAAGTATAATATTTGTACAGATGATATTCCCATTAAATTTTTCATTGACTGATAGCAAAAGCAATCAAATCGAATAATCTTCATCGATCTTATACAACCAATATTCAAACATTTATATTAATATTCAATATTTGCTTATTTAAGAACTATAAAAATTGATTTAACTGTTCGATCTAAATTAATTAATCCAATCAAATTCTATCTAATTCCGATCCAATCCTATTTAACCCAATCAAATCCCAACTAGCAAAACAACCTTTCTTTAACATTTAGAACTGAAAATGTATTACTTTTCATCTTCTACTTATACCTACTTCAGTTTCTGATCTGTATATTAACTTTTATGCTCTTAATATTATTCTTTAGTGATTAAAGGTCAATTGATGGCAAATTTTCTTTTTTCTCGTTCTTTCTCTCTTTTTTATTTCTTGCAATACACAATAACATTATAAATGATGTTAAGAAACCAATACACATCGTCATTAATGATAATGTTATTTGGTGACAGAGTATATATGTCATTGTCACATCATTCCAATGATGTTAGAATGAAAGATAATAAAAAAATAAAAAAATATATGAAAGGTAAAAGTATACGATTTGATAATTATTGTTGATTGATTGATTGTTGTTTTCTTAAGCTATGATTTGATTTTTTGTATTTATCAAAAATTTTGCTGTCATGCTAACTGGACCTTTTGTTAACTATACGATGCTTTCTTCTCTTCCCTTCATCTCTTTCACATTTATTTATCAATTTCAGTTTTGATTGTTGGCTCATTTTATTTACGGCACTCTTTTCCTTCACTTTCATCCATCTCATTCTTTTATTTCTTATTTGTTTTGTATCAACAATGCTAATTTCTATTTTTGTTAACAGTGATAAATTTAATGCATATATTTTAATAAT